TTTTTTTAGGAACCAGGGATTGAACTCAGGCCCCTGAGCTTGCCAGGGAAGCGCTATTCTACTGAGCCATCTCCCCGGCCCCAGATTAATATTTTTTGAAAACCCACGCAACTGCAAAATATCAAGGGACTGGTATATACCATATGTAGAAAAAGGACTGAATAAATGTAATAAACTATTGCCTTTATATTTCCCGTTATAAAAATTAACAAAAAATATAATTTCTAGTCATCTTGTATTTATTTAAATACTTGAAGTGGTGAGCTGTTAAGTGGCAATCAGAAGGAAAAGGAAATAGTGCACAGCGGCCACAAATACGGGGAGACAGGAGAAAAAGACGGTAATGTCAAGGAAGCTTATGGTATCAGACAGGGTTATACACCTCCCAAAGTCATGGATTTCTTTTGGTTGGTTGTAGAGTTGTGCTGACTGGCTAGTTTGTAAGATAAGGTCTTGTTGGGTAGCCTAGGCTGACCTCAAAACCAAAATTATTCTGCCATAAATTCCCAAGTATTGAGATTATGAGTGTATACTATGCTCATCCAAAGGAGATTGCAAAGGAGTTATTTTTTTCAGTACTGTGGATTGAATCCAGTGCCTATGTCTAGCCTGAGCTACATTCCTATCTCTTTTCTAAGTACCTGCCTGGCAAGCACAAGGTCTCAAGTTCGATGCCTGGTACTGGAAAAAAAAAAAAAAAAAAAATTAGAGCCAGTGAAATAGCTTAGCAGATTAAACACCTGCTTAGGCAAACACAGGGACTGGGATTCAGTTCCTGGTAACGCATGCTGAGTCTAGGCATGGTGGCGCACACCTGTAATCCAAGTACTGGGGAGACAAAAAACTGGAGGATCACTACAAGTCTGAGCTGTGCAGTGAGATCCTATATCAAATACATTAAATAAATATAGATAAATAAATAAAAATAAAATTCAGAGATCCTGCCACAACCAAATACTAAATAAATAAATAAATAAAATTCTGACACAGGGTCTCACTAAATCATTAAACTGTCTAGGCTGGAACTGAACTTGAGGATCCTCCTGTCACAGCTTCCCAGAGTACTGAGATTGTAAGTGTACATCACGACAGCTTCCTTACTGCCTTCTTTCAAGGAGTCAACAGAGATACAAAGAAAGGCTACTGTTTCAGCTTTTTCAAGAAAGGAAGTCAAAAAAATTAAAAAAGATAAAAAGACTGTGGCTTTTCAATCAGGGGAGTTCAAAGACTGAAAGATATCTGAGTGTAGAGAAAAACAGAAGACTAGATTTAATACAGGGGCCGGGGAGATGGCTCAGTAGAATAAGTGCTTCCCTGGCAAGCGCAACGATCTGAGTTCAATACCCAGTTCTGCCAAAAAAAAAAAAAAAAAAAAGATTAAATACATGACAGGTGGAAAGGTCACTCTTGATGAGGGTGAAAATGGACAAGGATATAAATTCTGTAAGGAAAGAATGCCTTCTATTTCAGGGGTTGGCCTAATAGCCCAAACGACTAAAGCACCTGCTTTGGCAGAGCACAGTGGCTGGGGTTCAATCCCCGGCGTGCTGTGCCGGCACGCTGAGAGGGCAACTGAAACTAGGCATGGTGGCGCACACCTGTAATCCCAGCACTTGGGAGGCTGAAAACAGGAGAATCACAAGTCTGATCTACGCAGTGAGACCCTGTAGACCCTGTCCTAAATACAGGAGGGGAAAAAAAAAGAACGTCTTCTATTTCTATTAAAAAACAGGATATAAATTCATCTCTTGATCATGAAGGTAGGGAACAAACTTAGTACAGTAGTGGCTCAAAGAAAATGCAAGTATTTAGTATAAGTTAGGTTTTAGCTTCACAGCCATCAATTCATTTTTAATCCTCCAAATCTAAGAGTAGGTTCAATTGTCACCATTTTACAGATGATCTAAAGTTCAAAGTTAAAGGGGCTGGGGAGATGGCTCAGTAGAATAAGTGTTTCCCTGGCAAGCGCAAAGGTCTGAGTTCAATCCCCAGTTCCACCAAAAAAAAAGTTATGATAAATTAAGTACTTTGCTCAAGATCACAGAGAGAAATCATTAAAACCAAATGCCAATCAAAGAAAGCCTGAGATGCTTGATAGGCAAGTACTATCTTTTACAGATGAAAAGCGGTAACAACACTGCTTACTCTATTCTTCTGCCTCCAATCCCAGTACTTTAATAATGATGCTTATAGTAAAAAGATATGGAATACAAGAATATTCCACCTGCTGGCTGGGGAGATAGCTGGGTGGTCTAAGTGCCTGCCTGGCAAGCATAAAGTCCCGAGTTTGATCCCTGGTAGCACATGCCCTGCTGGCCCCAGGCATGGTAGTACATGCCTATAATCACAGCACTAGGGAGGCTGAGACAGGAGAATCACTGTAAGTCCAAACTGCATAGCAAGACCTTGTATCAAAAAAAAATAGGGACCGAGAAGATAGCTCAGTGGAATAAGTGCTTCCCTGGCTAGCACAAGGGTCTGAGTTCAATCCCTGGTTCCACCAAAAAATAAATAAATAAGATAAATAAATAAACGTAAAAAAGAATAAAAAAAATATTCCACCTGCCAAGCCATGCCTCCAAACCTTAACATTCATGCATTTTGTCAGCAAACTACATACTATACTCAGCTGAAAGTGGGATATCTTTCCACAAACCTTATCTGAATTACTTTCAAAATCCTTTACAAACGTCTCTAAAATTTGAGTTGGAGACTTAGGCCAATCCCAAAGAAAAATATTACCATGTTCAGTGATGACCAGGAGGAAAACTGAAAATTTTAAACCAAAGTGAGATTTTTCTAGGGTTTGGCTCTATGAGTTGGCTGGCTAAACACTGAACATACATTAATATAGTTTAAGCAACTAATGGGAGAGGACAGCTGGTGAGAAAGGTAGTCTTTTAGCTAATTTCTCTAAGGATGATTTAGCCAAATCAGCCAATTCCATCTCCATCCTCAACCTCCATTCCTTCCTCTGTAAGATAAGCTCTAAGAAAACACACCCCCAGGAATAGCTGTGTTACCTGACTGCATGTCCAGGGTGGCCTGTAGTTTAGGGGGGCAGTAGATAGCATTCGCTGTGGTTCGAGCAGAGGTTAAGGCAGCTCGGGCTTTCGGCAGATTGCTCAGGGCATGGTACGTTTTGCTTTCTAAGAGCTGTACTTCCACCAAAAGAGCTTTGTCATCCATCTTTTTCAACTCACGAAGTAGCTGAGAACCTGGAAAAGTAAAAGATACATCTTATTACTGCAAAATCTCTCTTTCATCCTTACAATATTCAGGGTAAAGAAACCTCCCATACACTTCACAGCCCATGCAAAAACTACATTTCCAGACCAGGGACCATAGCTTAGCAGTACAGTACCTGTCTCACAAGGCTGTGAGCTTGATTCCCAGTACCAAAAATAAACAGAGAAATGAAATAAATTTTCCTCCTCTCTGGTTCCTTTTGCTGTCTTCCATTGCCCTAAATAGTTACCCCTCTACCATTTGCCACCTTGCCTTAGAACCAGCTGATTATGGACTGAAACCTCTACATATTAAGGTAAACAAACCTTTCAAGAAAAAAAAAATTGGGCCAGCCAAATA